TACATCTCCACTTCTACTTTATTTCTTTTGGACTTTCAGTATCATCGTGTAAAAGGTTTAAATGTTTCAAACATGGTTTTAAATTGTTTACTCATCTTAATATTTCTTTCCCAACTCTACTTATAATGAACCACTTACCCCTGTATTATGAATGATAAATTGTCATAAAGTCACATCTCGTCACGTTACCGATGGAGCCGAGGCGTGAGGTGGTCCCACAATAGTTATTAAAGTGGTCAGGTATTGCTCTATACCACTATGAATACTTGAATAGTAAATAGTTACACAACCTGGGCCATTATTTATGCCTCCTGCTGCTGCCCACTAAGCATTTCCTCTCAGCGGTGTCACTCAATCACATGGACTCTCATTTAGTGCTCACATACAGTCAGTAGTCACTTCAACCTGGATTTGATAATGTGATCACGACAATCACACTGCAGTGTGTGTGTGTGACTGTCACACTGTCACACCACACATTGTCAGGTGTGGGAAATGATGCAGGTAGTGCAGACTGCAGTGTATTGAGCTAATTTAACCGTGACGTAAACCTGCACCGCCTCTGCTGACAGTCGTAAATTTGTGACAAGTGGCCCTGTCTGGTGCTATCCTAGTTATCCTAGTTATCCTAGTTATCCTAGTTATCCTAGTGTTTAATGAGTATTATTATAGTTTGTCGTCCCCAGATGTAGCTACAGGATCAGGTTTGTTCTGGTAATTGGTTCGTTAATCTTTTGTATTAGGCGTGTCAGTCTGATCGTACTGGTGATTATAAACCATCCTGTTGACGACTGCTTAATTAGTGCTAGAGTTGGTAATCTGCCAACATCTCTCTCAGTTCTCATGATTAGGATGCATGTTTTCTGTCATTTCTATCAAACTTTTATTTAGACTCAGCGAAGGAAATAAAGCTGGCATGATGCTTGCCTGAATTCTAAATATAATTCGTTATCATCATAATCGACTAGGTGAAACCATCAATGTGACCACTGCGGTTAATTTTTAGCCATGGTCATGATCTAATATTACCGTCATTATCCTCGGTACTCAAATATGACACAACCAAGGTATTGGAGGAATTTCCGGAAATTCCAGTTAGATCAGTCATCATGATCAGCAGTGAAGTTGTTAAAATATTTCATGAAAATTTCCATCACTTTTACACATTCCTACCTAATTCCTCATCAAACCAGCCGATATCACTTTTGCGATCAAAGAAGGTATCCAGTCAAACTTTGACGGGTTCGCTTGCAGACGATCTGCGGCTGTTTAAACTTTAATAATAATAATTACAGAAGTCGCACGTAATCGATGCCTTTTATTGCCTAATAAAATAACATCAGACAGTTGCGGGAAGTGGTGCCCGTAATATACCGCTTTTTATCGTGCTGTGATTAATGTACTGTTAATATTATCTGATCACGTGTTGCGTAAGTCATTACTTACTGTACGTCTGTGATTGTTGCTCCTTCACCATCTTAGTTTGTATCAGTGTCACGTAAGCTTACGAATTCATTAAATTTCTACTCGACGCTTTGACATCTTACTTTATTAATGATATATCTGCTTCTATCTTAATTTTGGCATAGAAACCGAGAATTTGTTGTCGCTTTCGTTGTTTTATACTTTTAAATTTACAAGTGCCGACAAATTCTTCGATGCCCTAGTCGTCGAAGAATTTGTTGGCACTTATGCTTGCCCCTCTTTTTTTTATATAATAAAAAAAGATGTATGTTCATTAAATGAACATACCATTGCTCGTGATTGAATCGAGTTCTAAATCAAACCCGAAACCTTTCGATACCTACTTCTCTACTTATTATACAGATCACATATTTCAAAAATAGTGTTTTCATAAATTAATCTCAGTAGAGGCCTGCAATCATAACCACTGTTGAACACAAATTTATCCTTATATGGTAAACATCATAGCCTGCAATGAAGATTAGTGATTATGATTATGAATGTCTCTATCTAATAACTTAATAACCAATGGACAAGATAATTTCAAGGTTGATTATATGAGGCCCCGAAATAGCATTGCCCATTGCCATTTACCGGTTGACGCATTGACAGATGCAAACAATCACAGTCAAGTTTCATTTCCCTCATTACTTCAGTTGTATACTCTACCCTGTAATCTATACAATTAGTGTCTAATTTCTTGATTAACATTATTAACCTCTCCTGACCCCCCTAAATGAGTAACACCATCAGGAGGACACCCAAAATGGCTGAATACTTCTCCGAGAAGCAGTTGGGTCAGTTCCGTGAGTTGTTCGAGAGTTTTGATAAGAACGGAGACGGTGACATATCAGCAGACGAGCTGAAGTGTGTACTGATGTCGTTAGGAGAGAAAGTAAAGAGGAGATATTGTAAGAATATGATTAAAACGGTAAGTTTTATACTAAATATTTGTACATTTTCAGTGTTTTAAACTTGTAGGTTGTAGAGGCAACATAATATATTAGTGCGGTGGGTGTGGTGGGTGCAGAGTCGCACTATTTACCTGATACGGCACTGTTTTGCACCATCGGCCGTTATTTGATCTATCAGATTTGTGTACTTCAACTTGGTATCCTTGTGTACAATTAGATAATAACTACATATGATTAGGGTCGAATGTTTTTCATGATGTAACATTAAAAACACCGGAAAGTAAAACTATTTTTATAATCAGGAAAACATATAAAAGATAAATATTACCAGAAGTTCATAATTATTGTTATCAGGTGGCAAGCTGATATTTAGAAAATTCATTGACTTTTAAAACTATCGATATTTGATTAAAATGAGGGTGAATCTTGGGAAATGAATTACTTGTCAAGCTAGATCGCAATCCCTCAACAGATTGAAATTGAGTCCCTTTATTTTAGTCACGTAAGCCGCTTAAAGATTTAAAAATTACACATAATGTGTGGAATCGTTTGTTGTCATTGTAAAGTTGTAAAGTTATGATATTGTTTATATATCTTGAATCTTCAGGAAAGTCAGCGTAAGACATTACGTAAGAAACATTGTAAATTAATTGCCGTGTTAAACACAAAAATCGTGTAAATATGGGCAACGTTATATACTACGCTGCTGATTAATCCAACCTGAGAGAACTTAGAGGCTGCGAATTGTCCAGCTTAATTGCGGTGTTGTTTGTCTCCAAATTTGCCGCAGAATCGCACTATTAACAAGATATTACCGCATCTACATCGCATCATGTTGCCTCTGATAGTACAGAGAACATTTTTTATGAAAATATATTTTTTAAATATTTGAAAATTTATTAATTATTTAATTAATTAATTAAATAATTTATTTTTGAAAAAGTTGTCAAAGAAAAAGTTGTTCTCCTTTGTTTCCTAAACACACTGCTTTAAACTAGAATCTTCTAGGATATTCAGAACGTGACTTATTTGCGGAAAACCAAAGTGGTAAAAAGGTGGTAAAAAAGTGGTAATTGTGGATTTTGCTCAAGACAGATTTTTTGGGACTTTTCTGGAATGATTCCTGGGACCTGTCCCGACCATATCCCGTTAAAATCGCTTTGTTGCGAATTTTGTCCGACAAAATGACGGATTTGACTGTACTATAGGTTGACTGTCAACATATGAAGTACTGTGTTGTTTACTTAGATTGTTGAAAGTGTTGAAAGAAATAAAAACAATCAGAGCAACGCTTAACCTCTCAACTCCTTCAATTCTAAGTTCTAATCAGATGCTCACTTGTATGACCTATAATAAACACTATGTACTATTTTAGTACTCATTGCTTCATCGATCAGAGCTGTGTAATGTAACTGCACAAAGTGTCAACACCCACGATGCGATGATAGCAATATGTTGTAAGAGCAGCTGGGAACTCGGCCGTATCTCCACTGTCTGATATTAGTCCAGCTCTCTGTATTTTTAAAGTGAAATATTCGAGGGAAACTTTTAAATCCATATCAGTATCAACAACCAGTGGATTTCCAACTAATTAACTGACAAATTGATACGCTGTTTTGGCTTTCTGCTTTTAACTTTAATGTAACAAACTGTAGGATCTAAATTTGAGTATTCGAAATTTCACAATCTGATCATTGGATTCGCTTCACAGTATAGGTATATCTGTTAAAATATTCATTCTATCTCTAATATGACATCTATATACAATACCTTGCATAACTATGCACATGCGTCGGATAAATAATAAGAATAATTATAATAACTAACAATCTGTAATCGTTAATTTATCCTCAATTAAAACAGTGTACTGCCACATTATCACTCTGAAGCGTCACCGTACGTACACAAGTATTTGCACACTCCAGTAGTACGTTGTGGTGCGAGAGAGTGTCAAGTATATGTAATTTTGTGGTCAAATTAGCAGCAGGCATTTATACATCTTCTGGCAGTTGTTTAGCGCACTTTTCCTGGCTGCCGCGCCTGCCGGGAGTATATTCTAAAAAAAGCTTCGGTTATCTAAGTCTCCCCGCGTAATAACATTATCATTTGTATTTTCTTATTTTAACCTTTCGAATGGATTTATTCCGACTCTAGACGCGGTCTAGAGTTGTTATTTCAGTTCTCAGCCGGTATTTGTTATATGATTAGTAAACGTGATTACTGTGTTAAATATTATTCTGGTTAATCCAATTTCCGTTTATTTCAATACGACGCAATCAGTAATCGTTCCTTGCGAGAGGAAATCCGTTTCTTTGCAGTCCGCTACCACAGTTTATCATTATTCTGGTGATAATAAGGCGTTACCCAACCACCGTCTCATAGTCTCAATCATATTAAAATCTTCATCAGAAAGATTACACAATCCAATGAATTCTGAATGTCTTGTAGGATTTCAGCGGTTCTGTCACCTACCTACCTATGTCACCTATGTTGAGATTCGTTAAGCTTTAACAGGGCCATCGCCCATCACATTGTGTGACCACCCCACAGAGAGGAGATCTCTCTGTCATTCCTCCAGCAAAGCCGCGAGTTTGAGTTCTGAGGACTCACTTATTGAAATACCAAATTATTTGGCTTCCCATATAATACCTTAGCAATTGGTAATTTTGTTATGAGGCACTACAAATATATAAGACTCACTTTACCTTGTCGTCTTTCTTTGCTTACCTTTGTTATAGTCTTAACACTTATTTCTTTGTCAAATAATTGTAACTTTGATGAAGGTTTCTATTGTGCACACTTTTTTTGGACCAGAAAACAAATCTCTATATTGAAAATGCTACCACCTTAACTCTATAAGGTGTCACCCCTACAATTTGGTACCAGGCCTGCTTTGATCCTAATATAATATTATGTTCAGTTCGTGAAAGTTTAAGTTGATGTGATTTTCTTTGTTATGACTAGTTATATTTGTCAAATGGTGAATGTGATGGACACATAAATGGAGTCTAAAGCCTTTAAAGCGATCGGTATTATCTGACAGCATTCAGCACTGTATCATTTGTTATAAAGCAGAATCTTTTGATATGCTCATTCATCCACTGTTGTTCATATGATAGTATCTATGAGTCGTGATAAATCATGTGCAATCACATTTTGGAATCATTACCGTCGACCATCTCCCATGAGATACGTACTGCAGCTAGATGCTGACTTAATATATTCAGCTTCTTCTAATTAATGTACAGTTTTGCTTCGGAACGCATCGGATCGTATCATATTAGAGTAAGCACCACACAGAGCTTGTTAACTTAACTTGTACCTGATACTCTGTATTTCATACATATCGGACCTGAGTTTTTGGTTTCCTAATTGTACTTCACTTTGGCTATTAGCTTAGCACCCACTTGTGTAGACTTCCAATAAGCAATAAGAAACAAACAAATATTTCGGGCTCCATGCTACTGTGGAACTCTGAAATCCGTACCAGCAACTGAGACAGCGACCAGATAGCACTCGCCATACGAACAGCGAAGTTACGGAAATTTGCACCTAACCTACAATCTACATACTAAATACATATAAGTATCATCGATTATCATATTCAAAAGTGTTTTTTCCCATTTAATTTCCGTTAAATTTTTGATTTACACGTTGTTATTCGACTGGTCCGAAGTAGTAAGTTTCACTGGCACTCAGTGCACATTCCATGTTCCTTTATGATATTGCCTAGTAACCGGATAAAATTTAGTGGTCTCAATTTTCATGGCTACTAGCTGCAAGGTATTGACAGTCTCAATTTGTTCAGTTTACGCCCGAATTCTTGCCATGTTCTAATATCTGTCTCCCCCCATTTAAATGGTATCTCTGATGAAATACAGAGACCAGTTAAGACTATTATGTGTTCTTATTATGTTCCGGTCTATAATGATATGCCGATGAAGAATTCTATCAACGAGTAACATCGTGATGACTGGTGACGTTTATACAATGCTTGCAGGTTACCATACAGCAAATGTACAGCAACTAACTATTAACTATAACTTACATTCAATTTTCAACCATACCCGGTAGTAATAGTAACCGGTTTGCTACTCAAGTTTATGTTTCGGTTTATGTTTCTGTTGGTTGGTTTATGGTTTGTGTAATTTTTGTGTAATTGTTCTGATTTCTATTTCGAAAGAATTAGTTTTTAAAACCTTTTAGCGGCTGTTCATGTTCGCCAAACTGATGTTCGCCATTAATGTAATCTATAAATCGTCGTTAAAAGTAAGAAACGTGCTTGAACAAAAGTGCTCTCAATATTTGTTTACTTCATGTGTCGTCATACTATGATTCATAGTTGTAACACTTCCGCCAAGTTGTTATTAACTTACTGTGCTTTGTATGATAAATCCCTCCCAGAATGCACTCCATCATCAGTCGATATTAATAAGCTGCACTTTGAAGGCCATTTTTCCGATAACCGCATGGTTGTGGGAGTGGCACAGTTCCGGAGTCACATGTTGAATTTAACTGATTTTATCGTGTTTGTTTTATGTAGTCAACTCAGTGATAGTCAGAATATGTATTAGGAACATCACATATTCCAGGGGTGTTTCCCCTTCCTTCTGAGTCGACTCCAGAAAACTAACTCAGAAAATCAGCTCATTTATTGTGGTATTTGTATCTTACCACTTCAATTCTTTCTTGGTTTGATTTACTGACTACAAATGATGACTGCTATAAGTAGATATTATATTATGTAAATATTAAGAAATGGTATAGATTAAACATTAGTAAATAGGAATAGAACCAATTGTAAGTAAGGATAAATACACATTTGTGAGTACTGAGTATAGGGAAAGCAATCACATCATTGCTTTTTGTACTTTTATATTGTTATTACCGGCCAACCACCAGTACCAATTAGCGATATTAAAAATATTGACCCCCTATATAAGATCAGACCCTCTTGCAGCTTTAATAACCTTTTCTAGCTCTCATCTCCTCTATCCATCTCGTCCTAAGGCTATGCAGAATGTTTTTAGTTTCATGCTCATTGCACGAGCAGGTGCTGAACAAGTTTTTGACTCCTCTAAAAATCTGTTTCCACGATCTAGAGAAAACTGAAATATGATGGAATTGCTGATCTAAGCTAGCTCTAATGTACAATGTACATTGATTCAATTTTATACTTGGCTGACCGTTTTTCGTGAAAAAGTCTGGTGTTTCATACATTTTAGTACATATAAAGCTTATCTTTTTAAATTTAACAGCTATTTGTTTGTTTTTCTGCTTGATGAATGTTTTGACTTTTCAACCACAAAACATGTTGATATCAAACATCCGAATAACTGGATTTAATAAAGAATTTACATTCCAATTCCATTCGTTATTTCGCTTGCGGCAGGCCTCACTTTGGAACCCTCAGTTTACACTGCCCTTTGAGCCGAATATTCGCTACTGTGAACAGATATACTGTATACATTCACACATTCAACAACTCCGTGTCTGATTTTAAATTCTTTGCTTCATCGTAATCTTGTCGTAATTGTGATTGCGTTACATATCAAGTCCTTTTGTTCAGCATGATCTACTTGTGTCTTCTTCGATCAGTTTCCATTTTGCCGTCTCATAATATTAATATCATGTACACGTAGTATTATATACAGTCGTACATTTAACAGTTTGTTTAGTTTTGTTCGCTCTGACTATAACTTCCAATCTTCAAGAAAATGGCGGACATATTTTCCCAAGAACAGATGGATAAATTCCGGGTTATATTTGAGCAATTCGATAAGAATGGGGACGGTGATATAAGTGCCAAGGAGCTGAAGGGGGCCCTGAAGCAACTTGGTCAAGTCACTGACACCAAGAGTTGCAAGAAAATGATTAAAGCGGTGACAACTGTTCAACATTTTTTCATTTGTATATCTGTTCTGTATAATTGGTTTATTTCATTTTTTAATAGTAGTCATACAATGTGATAAGAATTAAGGTTTAAGTCCTCAATTCGTCCACACAAACTGTCGATTTAACCTACAAATATTTTGAATATGTTATTGAAATAATATTTGTAGGCTTAATAATTACTAACAGTAATAAAAAAATAATATAAATTACATAACCTGGTTCTTTTGGATGAATCAGTATTATAGGTCTATTAATGTTAGATTTCTAAATTTACCTATAACTTCAGTACGACAAGAACAGAACAAAACGAATGGAGTTCAAAGAGTTCCTGGACATGATGGCGAATGTCTTCCAGTATCACCTCAGCCATCCAGAGGTAGGTTCCATGATCCATCATTCTGGCGACCTCTTTAGTAAAGAGTAGTGTAGAGACCACCGAGCATGTTCAAAATATCGTATGAAAGTATGAGATCAGGAAATTATCAAAAATAGAAGGTTGTAACTTTGTAACATATATATAGGTGGCTAAAGATCCGGCGAATGCCGAAAAACAGAGAAAACAGGTTATGATCATTAAATATTGAGCACAAACAGAACCGAAGAAGCGATTGTTAATTTAAAAGAGTCCTTTTTTTCTGTCATTCTCAGCACTTTCAGCATATCATGTACAAATATTCTTAACCAAACGTTTTATCTCCATTCGATCAACTCCGACACCTTATTTGATATGGTCATGAAAAAACCTGCAGGCCAACAGTTTCTCATTTTCACGTTTTTAATTTCTTGTTTTCCTGCCTCATTTCGGGTTTGCTAGATATCGACTTAAAATTCAAGCCTCACGAATCACAATAATAATGACAACAGCAACTTAACAGTTCACAACAGCTCTATTGCCGGATTTTTACTTGTATTATATTTGTAATTGTCAGAAAATGTTAAGCTTTCCCGTGCACGTTGAGCCAGATTTTGTTCACGCAATAACCATGAATGAACCAGCTTTGGTGGCGTATTGGGTGGGGTTCATCCAAAGCAGCCACATTCCACTTACCCTCTGTTTTGATGACGTGACTACTTCAGGGTCAGACTAACAGCTCCGCTAGAGAAGTTGCCACCAACAAGAGACTAGAGGACTTGTTTGACTCTCTTGATGGAGACGAATCAGGTCGGCTCTCGCTAACAATAACTTTACTCTATGAATCGTTGACTTACCATTTAAAATAATGTGGCTGTTATGCTACAGTTAATGGTTATATAATTTTAAGTTAAAAGTAACAGAGTATGATGTCTGGTACCGGTACCAGCTTTGTGGAAATACTTTGTTTAACCCTGGTATGATAGCCTGGCACTGTCATTATTAATTTGATATATACCATATAAAAGTGGGGAAAATTCACATTTTATGCAGTACACCCTGTATACATAATATATTTTATAATATAATAATAATTTTAATTGCAGCTCCGTTTATTAGGCTGGTTTTTCTCATGAATGATCGTTATCATTACATCAGGTTTTATTGACGCTGAGGAGATAATAAAGCTTACTGAAAAACTTGGAGAGAAGATGTCACTCGAGGTTGTGATCTTATGCATTCTTTTTTGTTAACTGTTATCGTACACTGATATCTGCCGTTTTCTGACAAAAGTGCTTAAGTAACATTTTGGAAATTTCGGGTTTTTTGGTCCAACTTTTGTTTTTGGGTCGAGAACTATCCCTGAGGACCATTGGATAGATTCGCCGACCCCCCGAAACACCCTTTTTGGAACCCCCTAAAATGCAAAATATGGTCATTTTTCTGAGAAAAGTGCTTAAGTAACATTTTGGAAAACGGGTGCCGTTTATCTCAAAAACGGTGCCATTTCGGGAACTGAAAACGGTGGCATTGTTTTTTACGCCCAAAACTGGCCTAGTGACGGTAATTTAGTGGCCTTTTGGCCTGGGAGAAAACAATTTATGTCACTTAAGCACTTTTGTGAAAACGGGCTCGTTTTCTCACAAAAGTGCTTAAGTGCCATTATACGTTTAATTAAATGTTGATACTGCCAACTGAAACTATATAATCGGTACTAACAAATCTAAATTTTCACGGCGGATCGATTGGTGATGGTCATAAACTTCAGAAACGCTAGCTTCGCCGTCAAAATTGCCGATTTGTCAATGCAGAACGTTTCAAAATATACGTCATAATTTGCTTTAAAATTTTGTATTCTCTTATAAGTTCAGACTGGCAGGATTATCGACAGGCAAGGGAACATTACCAAAGAGATAGAAGCGATTTGCTTCACTGCTCCTTCTCTGTTGATATGAAGAAAGTTCTTTTACTACCACACATGTAGTACAAGGAGTACAAGGAGGCGATTTTTACAAAACGCCTTGTCACATTTAACGAGACCTTCGCGAGGCTGGGGTCAGACGGAGCTCCTTTAGCGATTCTTTGGAATGAGTCAATCGCAGGAAGGAAAGATGAGAATGTGTCCTCGACTTGGATAAGGGAAATAAAAATTTTTGCCAGTTAGTTGGCAAGATTGGTAGCAGGGAGATCATTTTTTGGGCAGACAATTGTTCTGCTCAAAACAAGTGTTGGACTTTATTTACTGCCCTATGTTCATCAACAGCCCAGATGTTGACCTGGACAAGATAACGGTCAAGTATCCCCAGTATCTAAAGCCAGTGAACACCTTTATGAGTGCAGACTCATTCCACCATAAAGTTGAGTTGTCCATTAAACAATCAGGTCAACTTCATGATTATAAGGACTTTGTTCAGGCAGTTGAACAGGTGGGTTTTGCGATAAGCATGAACTGCACATACTTTGAATCGTGGCCAAAGTCCTACGGAGCAAGCAACTAAAAAAACTAAAGATGTTAAAGTTGTAAGTTTCCAGCGTGGGTCTGTAGAAATGGAATGGAAAACAAATCATGACGAGGTTTCCTTTCATTTCACTCCATTTCTCAGACAAAAAGACGAGAGACTCATTTCCATAGGTTGCAAAATAGCTTTCGCCCAGGAAGAGCCCCGGGGGATAGCTACTCCCAAAAAACAAGACATTATACGTAAACTGTGCAGGCTTATGGCCCCGAGTAGTAGGGTAATCTGGATGAACTTGCCTGATAGTACAGCTATATAACAGATATCTTAATCGAGTGTTTGACTAAAAATCAACTATTTCTTGTATTATTTACCATTTATTTATGTACAGCATTACTTACAATTATGTTACATTTTTATACGCTTGTTTTTCTTTGCCTCGCGTTACGATATCAATAATTCGCAAATCATTGGTCTTTATGAAGAAAGCCTCATCTGAGTTCTTAATTTAATTTCTAAAGAAAGCAACTTATTTATTATTATCCCGTACTTTCACCAATCAACTCTTCGTTGAAATGCTGGTAGAATTTCGACTATTTTCTAATCCGCTGGGGAGAAGGGAGTGTTTTCGTGTTCTTAAACCACCACCAATCGATTTGTCGCAAAATTTTTGGTCAGAATGATCGCAGATAAAGTTCCCACTAATGTGGCTGTACTTAAGCACTTTTCTCAGAAAACGAAATTTTCTATTTCAGCGTGTCCCCTATTTACAACCAATGTTTCGTCACAACAGTTTTAGGCAAATTTTTCGTTTTACTTTCGATGACCAATGGTTTGAACGGGTCATTTTCATCAGAACATGTAGTATTTGCCGATGTGACTGTACTTAAGCACTTTTCTCAGAAAACGAAATTTTCTATTTCAGCGTGTCCCCTATTTACAACCAATGTTTCATCACAACAGTTTTAGGCTAATTTTTCGTTTTACTTTCGATGACCAATGGTTTGAACGGGTCATTTTCATCAGAACATGTAGTATTTGCCGATGTGACTGTACTTAAGCACTTTTCTAAGAAATTCAAACTATAATTTGTGATTTTGAGGCACTTTCCGAGAAGTTAGGATGATGAAACTTTGTCAGAAGTCTCAAAAGTCGACAAAGTACCTTAGAAACATAGTGGGTGCAGTTTAAATTGGACAATAGCTAGCCCAGAGCAATTACAGAATTGAAATCTTTAACCTCAATTTACACAAAATGAACCTTGTGTTACTTAAGCACTTTTGTCAGAAAACGGCAGATATGACCTACGGATTTAGATTATGATAAGATAATAGGTACTGTATCTGTAGCTAGACTTCTCTTAAAAGCTGCCAGATTTTTAAACAATCTTCATTTTATTCTTTTCCAGGAAGTACAGGAGCTCATCGGTCAAGTAGATAAGGACGGAGACGGTCGGGTTAACAAAGACGAGTTTAAACGATTAATGGCGTCCAAATAGTCAGCTTTATTAATGGCGTCCAAATAGTCAGCTTTCGGTTCTCAGCAGCCCCTCAGCATGACTTACAATAATTTGTAATGAATATCTGAAGAGGTAATATGCTCATCAACGTTGAAGTTCGTTATCAATGAGATGACTATGAGATATTGTCTTCAGATTGCCGTGGAGGAAGTCTACAGATTCAACATCAGGATCGGAATTTTTTTAAGAGTTTCACGTTGTAAAGATAAGTTGTATAAAGTATTTTTATGAAGTTTTAGTTATTAGTTCAAGAAAATTGATTCTTGATGTTGAATTGCGTTTCTCGAAAAAATTTCTATTCATACTTAAAAGGAATTTGTGCCTTGATAATCTCGGCTGACTGTTTTCAGTTCAAATTGACAGACATTTTTGCTGCGATTTAGGTTAGATAGGTTTCTATCTTGCTATACCAGTATATTTTGATGATAAATTTGCGATGAATTTCTTTTACTTATTACATCTTATTAAGTTATTTGTCAAATTTATCTATTTATCTACTGTTTTGTGTTCACTTCACTGAATAAGTTTTGTATTGTGGATATAATAATATTAATCATTGTTTTGTTAGATTAAACACATTCCATTTCAATAATTAAAACTTGTTTTCGTTCTTCTTCGCACATTTTATGAATAATTTACTTTATATATTGACAGTTCTGACAATCAACGGATTAATATTGTAAATTTTAGAAATATCATGACCGATCTGTCAGAGGGGTATTATTATTAAAAAATTTACATTTTTTCTACTATTTTTGATAGATACGTGAATAGTAGAACAACTTAACTTTGAAATTGAATGGAGAAAATAAATTCAACAATAATTCATGACAACAGAGTGAAAATAATGTCATAACTATTATTATAAACCATATCAAAGTTCAAAATATCTTAGGTCTTAGATCAAAATATACAGTGTTAATAACAGCAAACATGTTAAATATAAATAACAGTACAACGAGAGCTCTGATAGTGTTAATTGATGGCGACCAAATCTGACAACAGTTGTTTGCAACTGGTTTAGCTTCAAATTAGTCTACCCTTGTACGCGCTCCCGCATTAAATATTATGATTTTAGTATAAGTGTACACTGCACGCCTAGAATACTAACGGCAAACAATTATGAGTTGAGAAATTTCTTCCTTAGTTCTTCTTTAGTTTGAGTGATTAAGTGGGCCACTTGGTAATCTAGCTAGGCACACTTGGAGCAAGTTGGAGCACAGTTGACAGTCGGGGCAAAAGAAATCGGGGCAAAAGCAGTTGGGGCACAGCGGAGGCACAGTTGGGGTAAAAGATGACCTGGGGCACAGTTTAAGACGAAGCCGCAATTCAACTGTGCAACTGTGCAGTGTGCCTAGCTAGATTACCAAATCTCCCATTCTTACATTATGTAAGGGAGGGTGCAATTATAATATGATCTGGGTGAAGATGTCGTTTTGGGATTTTGGCTGATTGGGTACCCAATGAAGCTGATTGGGTGCCCTATTAACTGTGTGGGAACTAGGTCAAATTGGATGAAGTTGTCGGTCACCCCTCTATCACTCAGTATCTATTAGTATCTATCAGTATCACTCACAACTTTTAAACGTCAGTCTTTCAGTTTCACCGTATTATAACATTAACAACATTATATTTCATGTTATCCAGTCATTTCACCTATGTGTCAGTTCATATCAATCATTATTAGATGCTACTCCAGGACTTTTCGTTAACTAATTCTCAAGCACTATTTGTTGCTTTAAAAAGCTCATATCTGTCTCATGTCTAAACATAATTGAATAGTGAATACATAATTCATAATATCTCCTAACCTTCTCTCCTGTGAACTCTCTTTAGAACTACAGTTCTGTATCTTCTTTCACACGTTGATTTAATTGTGCAGATTCACTCTGTGCCATCTTAAGAGGCACTCATCCTCACAGCGTCCTTTCATTTCATAAATTGGCTTGATCCATTTCCATCTTTAATAGGAATTAGGATATATAAGTTTCATTCGCAGTTATATAGCTCACATTCTAGAGCCAGTTCAGTTTAAGTTCTATCGCGGACAGTCCTTGCTTCATCCTTAGTTCACATTTCCATTTACACCGTATAGTAGCAGAGCACTCGATCCTTTAATCAATATATTTTACTAAAACTGCTTACCTGCCAAATTACCCTCCAATTATGTTCTCTTCGCCTGTTTAATTGCTTTCATTAATATTCTTTTCACCTTTTTACCTGCTACATGACACGTTCATACTTCATAGCGTATAATTTTAATATAATTTATATCTACTTGCAGTTTAACAGAACTCTAAATGCTTAATTAATACCCTTGCAGGTACCACCCGTATTCACACTCAGTATAATTGAGTCCGGTCATTTTCCGATACGATATTGGGGACGGGTTCTACAAAAAACAAACATATAATTATCTTTTAGACTGAAGCTTTGCTCGAGTTAATAATAATAAATAAACCGCAATATTTATGTTAATATATATCATAGTTGAGTGACAAGGTGTAGTTATGAACCGCCTGCTTTGAAGCTAAAAATAACAAAGTTTAAAGTTTAAACTATAAGTTTAAACTTCTAAAAGTAAAATTAACCCAAGAAACTTCTTTGTTATGAAAATTTGTATTAATTTAATTTGAGCCCGACACGAAAAAAATAATTAGATCAGTAAAGTTATTTTTGATTTGTTTGGTTGAGTTTGACGAGTAAACTTGATGCATAGCCATAGGTTCAGGATAGCCTGACGTCTAGGCAAAGACCGAGATGCTAGAACATGGGACCCACTCAGTTACAGCATCTGTCCCGTAGCTGTCCAGTTTCCCGGAGAACTAACCTAAAGAGATTTCAACAGAAAGTGAACCCATACCTTATACTCTTATAGTTGATATGTTACAATGTAAATTCAAGTAGTTCGCTTCAATCTCAAAACTGTAGCTCTCTTCAGATCTTTAGCAAGGGTTCAGCCAGCTAGTTCTTAGAACTTAGCACCATCTGATCAATCATGTGCTGAAAAGCTTCGGTCATACAAAGCTTCGGTGCAGTGATAATTACGTTTCTGATAAGGCTCCTGATAAGGCTCCTATATCCGATCATTGTCGTGTCTCCTGATACAGATAAGGCTCCTATATCAAATTATAATTGTCGTGTCTCCGGTTCAAAAAATGTCGCCTGATAATTTGGAGATTAAAGTTCCACAGAATATTTAAATCAACCCGTGTGCACACTGCACAGGCTCACTGCACAGGCTCACTGCACAGGCACACTGCATAGGCTCACTGCACAGGTTCACTGCACAGGTTCACTGCCTATTTAGTCAGCGCGGACGAATACATTGTGACCTAACAAATCATGGTTTATTGGTAGGGCCGGGCTAGCTTGACGTTACCATGGAGAATTAGTCTTCCTGTCCCCGTCCCTCCCCTTCTTTCTGTTCCTGTCACTGTATTTTGAACGGGTTATTATCGAAAAGCGTCAAGATGAAGAAAAGTAGGGCAAAAGGGTAGCCGCTGAGTGCTGACAGTGACAGTGACAGATAAACTAAAAGTTATGTTAATAAAAGTAATATGAAACTTCAAATGATGGAGTAGTTCGCTGTTTATTAGTCTCATGATTGAAATACTGATAGTTGGATAATATCCGGTTGGAAGAGACAAGGACAAATGAAACATTCCTGTTTCATTTGTCCTTGTCTCGTCCAACCGGATATTATCCAACTATCAGTAATATGGAACTATCACAGGTCTGACTGCCAGACTGCTGTTCAAGTTATTAGTTATCGCCAAAAGGGAAACCCGCATAGTAAGTTGGCTGTAATGATTTAAAGGCAAACGTTCTCGGTATAGTACTTGTAATACAGCTGCAGGTAACCATAAACAAATTAAAAAGTTGTTCTCTTTTTACAACTTGTCGATCTTCCAAGTTCAAGCTGCTTTGAATTAACGCTTGTTGACATCACAGAATTTTATCCACGATGACAAAGCTCTCTTTCAGGACTTCATGGGACGATTCGACGCAGGGACCTTGCCCCAAGTTCAAAGTTGACATCTTAGTTGAACGAAAAGCTTTCATAAATCAAGTGTCACTCAGTCCCTCTATTTGACTTTGAGTATTCGATGTAATCGTGCCTGTCGGATTAAATAGTCAGAAAGCAAATACAATTATCAGTTATCACATTAAATTATAAACAATCGAAAGAGTGTACAGGGTTTCGATGTCTGTGTGTTGGTTCCATGCCAGGCGGTAGAATCCAAATGGAAATACGAGCTGCCCTGTGAGTGATGATGCAATAGAGCTGCATATTTTGCGCTCTTTACAGCGCTCTGTACTGCCGGTGTATCCGCTATTCAGTCACATGACTCATTATCCACCCACGTGTACATCTCTCCCTTTCAGCAACTGTGCACGCGACTCGCACGTGCTTGTCGATGTGCTAGTTGTGTGTCATGCGTCACGAGCGCGCCACGTGACTGCTATAATTACCCGCCATATTGCTCTGAATATTGTGTGTGTGTGTGTGTGTGTGTGTGTGTGCAGCGGCCGCGCTATACAGGGTCGGTATGACGTCATAACCATATTTTTTGGCTGATTTTTTGCCCTAACCGCTTTTCTGCTGGTAAGGAATGTATTTGTTCAGAAAGCTTCAGAAAATGTCGCTCTGTACCGATACCAAGCATATTGCAAACTCAGTGTTACTATAAATAGATACACAGCCATGACCTAGTCGCATTTTTGTGTTTTTTGGCATAAAATATTAACTCATTCCGGAATGGAACCACGGATTTAAATGTTTTTGATACCAAAAGTTAGCTCTTTGTATTGCCCATCTGGAATGAGCTCGAGTTTTTCAAAATCCACCGAACCAAGGTCACAATCGTGTCGTGAGCATACAAATTCGCTAATGCCCAGGAAAAGTGCTTTTAGTTATGTTCAAGGGAGATCGGCTATATTTTCACCATTTTTTCATGAATTTTCCCCAAATTTTCATAGGCTGGGGGAACTGTCCCAAAGCCCACGGCTGCCAATTTTCAAGTGTTTTGCTTGAAATATTGGGAATTAAGCGGACATTTATCATGACGATGCGATCTATCAGGGAATTGCGGCCGTTTGCAGGGCAACATTTCTGAACATTTTGTCCAGCGCGCACAGTGCTCTATCTTGAATTTGTCCAATAAGATTCAAAAGCGCAGACCAATCAGAGGACAGCAGCATTTCCACTGACCAATCACAGCCGACCATGCGGATACACACCAGCCAATCAGCGTCCAGAACCGTATTCTCGAGGCATGTTTGCCTCCGTATATGGTAATACGTACACTGCTCATTCATTGTCCGCCCGTAACGTACGTTGTTTTCTTTGTTGTAGAGAAGTATGGCCCGTACCAAGCAAACCGCCCGTAAATCCACCGGAGGAAAAGCCCCAAGGAAACAGTTGGCAACCAAGGCAGCCAGGAAAAGTGCCCCATCCACTGGAGGAGTCAAAAAGCCCCATCGATACAGGTGTGAACGAATGGCTCATACATTTCTGCATAATTTCTCGTTCGATGCCCGCTTTCCGGTCTAGCCGTAACTTTGCTTAGATTGATGGGTTATTTTTGTATTACAAGAAAATTTGACTGGGCCTGGCCCCACCCAATTTAGCAGAAGTTTCCTGCTCCAAGGACCCGGCTCTAATGTATGATTTTCTCATTTCTTGACCAATTTTCGTTTGCAGGCCTGGAACAGTCGCTCTGAGGGAAATCAGAAGATATCAGAAGAGCACAGAATTGCTCGTCAGAAAACTCCCCTTCCAGAGATTGGTCCGTGAGATCGCTCAGGACTTCAAAACCGATCTCAGATTCCAGAGTGCTGCTATTGGAGCTCTTCAGGTTAGATTTTCAGCTTTGGTTTATTTTATATGTTCTGACTAATACTATGAAACTCTTGACATATTGTCTATTGAGCAATAAACCCCTTTTCGATTCCTGAGCTACAGCTGCGATTCATATTTGGGATTAGGCGAAGCTCCGGCAGGATCTCCAATTTTACCCCAGCAATTTTACCCCAGCTCTCTTCGGGAAACAAATTTTCTGCCCGCTAGATATCTACCCCGAATCTACAGCATTTCCTTCTTGAATGTGGACTGGTACGACAGGGACAAATTTTTCTGGGAATATCCGCTATTCACCAATGATGGTGTCGGGTATTCAAAATTGTCATAATATTCATGTGAGACATAATTTACATAAATATGGCGTATAAGTAGGAGGTCTACGGCAGCTATAGAAATGGTAAAAATTCTTAAAATTCAAAGCACGATTTTGCTACTTTGCTAGTATACAGTGCAGTGTATATATATATATAGTTGTGAAACTCAGAAGTGTCTAATCTAATGTAACCAGTAATGATGTACGGATATTGGATATATTTACCTGGTTGCTGCCTGCTGGTAGAGAAGAATACAACTAAGTTCGGCTGTGGTAATCGATATAAAATATAATTTGTAGGGCTATCCGTACGCGTACCTCACTCGCTCCATTCACCTCTGACATGTTAGTTAAAGGTAGGTGGAGCGGGGAGGCCATGCACATGATCATTCTTTAACTATCATTTTAGCAAGTTATTTTCCCTCCGGGCTCCGTACAAGGGATAAAAATATGTTGATCAGGACCGATCATAGTTATGAAAATTCTTCAGATTTATAACTAAATTTACCATGTTATATCATGATTGATTTTAGCTCAGTCAATAAAGTCACAGTTAGGATCATTATACATGAGATGATATTTCCAATGGTGTGAACGAACTCTGGCAGAAAGGTGATGACTTCAAACATATTACGTGAGAATGTGATATAATCATATTTAAATTAATCCTCTTTTTAACATAAAGTTTTCTTCAGGAGGCCAGTGAAGCTTACCTCGTTGGATTGTTCGAAGATACCAACCTGTGCGCCATCCACGCCAAGAGAGTCACTATCATGCCCAAAGACATTCAGCTCGCCAGAAGAATTCGTGGAGAACGAGCTTAAACTGCCGTAATTAATCAGTTTATATTTGAATACCATGGCGGGACTGTTGGTTGTATTTACAAAATTGATCTGACTTGAACTCACCGCGGATCAATTCAACCGTGACTTATAAAAATGACCATCTCAGTAATTGTTATTTTGTCGGGAGGCTGTAATTTTGTAAAGATTTTGTGTATTTGTTAGTCGAACAACCACTAGCAATTCTTGAATGGGAGTAGGAATCTTGAAAATTATCACAACCTATAATTTATTAGTCAGTGTGCTTTGATATACTGTCGAAAGCAATTTAGTTCCACATATTCTTGTTTTTACATTAGTAAATGCATCTCGGGTCAGTAGGTCTTATTCGGTTTTATTGCATATCCTGTAGCCGTATTTCTGAAATCAGTTATGTTTTTCTCTGATCAAAGACAGTGTATTTCTGTTTTTAATTTTATTTATTCATATTTGAATGTATTCCAAGTTTAATGTCACGGGTTTATCTTTTCTGTGGACAGTGTTTGGAATAGAACAAGGTTTCAAACGTCTGAACCTCCTCCCGATATATGCTTAAAATTAAGTTTACCATAAATGCCATATTTTCGTCTTCAGTGTTCAGTCAGTGGCGTCCCCCGCCGGAAAAGCGCCCCCTCCCCTTTTAGTGTCCCCTCCCCCTAAAATTAAACAACTTCAGTGAATTTAGAGGTACACCGGCAAAAACGCGCAGTTTTGCTAGTACTACAGTTAAGTCATAATATAAGTTTTTCAAAACTGTCCCACATTCAAACGACGATTTGGCTACCATTGCGGCATTGAAATGGTTCCATTGTTGTATATACTTGGCCTCGTTGTACTTGTACATTGTAATTGTAAACCCGCCGCGCACGAGTGTCTTTCTTTACACTTTAAATAAATGGACACTTCCGGTTTTTTCAAAATGTTCGTCTCTTGAAACTAAAGTAATCAGTAATTGGTAATACCACATACTATAAATTTATAATAGCAAATAGATCCTTGACATACGTTGTAGACCTGCACTTGCAGCGCCTATCGCTTCACTAGAGTTTCTACGATACAGGGGGAGCCGCGCACTCGTGCGCGGCGGGTCACACACCGTATGACAACGAGTGCGCGGCTGTATCGTGGCCACGATACTTATTACTACTAGAGGGGAACTGGAATAAAATAGATACACTTAGTGAAACAACAGTGGGGGTCACAAGTCACAACGTGATACAATAGCTCCCCAGAAGTAAAATTTGGGACATCGTACTAGGTTTGAGTTTGATTCACGATGTCAATCCTTCGCAGCTCGGTGAGGCACAGTGGTGCATCTCGCCGATCTACCGAAGTGTGGTTGCGAGAAGCATTATTTGATGCGCGCGCGACCCAGTAGTGCATCGCGCTACAAGGTTTGAGTTATTTAGAAAAGTCTTATTTTGGCCGAATAAAAGTTTGCAACTTTAACTTTACTTTGCGGATTCTTGTCCTCTGATTGGCTGAATTGTGTCACGTGCTTGCTCATGTTGAAGATTGGAATGGTTCACTGTTCACGCGTGCAACTCAATTGTCAATGTCGCGCGCCAGCTCAAACCGGCTGTTTAAAAAAAGCACTTTGCACCTTTAGCGTGTCTGCCAGCCGTTACGGGTATAAGGTTTTTATTTATGGGATGACCGTTATTTAGCTTTCTAGTCAGAGTCTATTTCTCGCTTCTCTCATATGTCTTATCCCGTTTATGAAGCTTGAAAAGAGCGCCGCGCACAGTGACTTAACTGGCGTGCCAGGTAACCAAACTATGAAGTTGAACTATGACCGTTTTGTTCTGACTTCTGCCCTGTACTGAACCTTAATCACACGATACTGATAGCCAATGTCGTAACGTAATATACTATCGCAACTCATATAGTAGAGGCTCTTACGGGCATTGTCTGGTTGAAACGTTAGGGACCCCAGATACACCTTACTAGACGTATTTTTGACCGTAGAATCGATTAAAAGTGGTTTCAAGATGATTGGATTGATTGTTCTGGGGTAAAATTGCAAAAAACCGATTTTTGGGCCAAAAATAGGCCAAAAAACCATGTTTTTTGATATTTTGAGCAAGTCAATTTTGTTGGCATGTCGGCAAAACTTGCATGAAGATAGTTAAAAGACAGCCGCACAAGATTGTATAAAAATAAAACAAATCCCTCTATTTGTTCTGAGGTAAAAATCCAAAAAAGTGGTAAAAATGTTGACTTTTTTGCTTGAAGTTTGAATAATTTTTTGCAGTTGTATTAAATCAACCCAAAAATAGTCACATCGTGTTTGCCTAAATTTTTCCTTTCCGAGAAGTACCCACTTCATATACTTTATCGAAGTTTAAATATTGTCACTCCGCAAGCGTTTTTAACAAATTTTCGACGCGCACTACGCGCAAAAGCATTTAGTTGTTATCAATTGGCACCCGCGCGTTCATCATAAATTTCAAACAGCTATAACTCAGCGAGATTATGTCCGTTCTAGCTCATATTTTCACACCAAATAGAAAATAATGTGATCTTATTGCTGACAAAATATGAATATAATTACTCTAGTTGCCTTAGAGTAATAGACTGTCAAAGTTAATAACGCGCATTGGTATAGCACGTGACTAATAAGGCCAAATTTATACTTCTTAACATATTATCGATCCTTAGACATCATACTATTGTGTCCAATTAGCGGTTAGGTCTCTAAACTCGTAGCAGAAAACACGTCTTTTTGCCCGTAAGAGCCTCTACTAATATGGTTATTTGTTATTCAAAACCACAAAAATTGTTGCTATCGGAATTAAATTATATCACATGTTTATTTAGGGTTTAGCGACTCAAGAGCAATATATTTGTATCAGTATCACTCCTACAATTACATTTCACATAGCCATGTGCCTACTTGTAGCGCGATGCACTACTGGGTCGCGCGCGCGCATCCAATAATGCTTCTCGCAACCACATGCAGATCGGCGAGATGCGAAGGATTGACATCGTGAATCAATGTGCCTACGCGTACTGCGTGACGCGCTTGTTTCACAAGTAGGATCTTTGCCGCCTCCGGCGGTCGCGCGCTACTGCAAGCGAGAGGGCTCTGGTTAGAGCAACAATTACATTAACCATTAACTGTAACATAATGTGTACTAGCTGTGTAACCATGTAAGTATTTGTGTACGTATAGTTCAGGAAGTTTGAAAATACTAAACATAAAAGAGCGCCGCGCACAAGGATTTGCGTACTGCTAACACTAACAGCTAAGTAAAGTAATCCCTGCCTCCACCCCATTCAGTTTCACATGATTTGACGCCATTTAATTACAAGTTAGCACTTGCACTTCACTTGAGAATAAGATCACGAAACTATCAACAATCAATACTAATAGTATTATATAATAGGCATAGCTATGGGAAGGAAACGAAAACACTCGACACAGGCACTCTTGATAGAAGGACGTGATAAAAAGAAAGGACCTTTCGGTGAGTAATATTGATTATGTAATTGTAATAATGTCTGGGTTAGTTCAATATAATTAACAGGGCAGGGAATTGAAGTTTAATGAACAATGGAGTGAAAAATAAACATGGTGGAAATGCTCCACGTCTTGAATAATTAATATTTAGGTGGTCGCCGGTCGATCATTCATATCATTCCACAGATTATAGTAATATATAAAGCCACAGATCATAGTAGTATATAAAGCCCTTAACGGCTTTAACTAATTCGCTCGCCCAAAAATTTCACGTGACTTTGGTTTTTATGGTTTTGCAGCCGTACGCGTACAAAACGGTTTTACATAAACAATAAACCCTAATCCCAACCCTAACCCAGAACCCTAACCATTACCCCGAAGCTATCCATAAACCTTACCACAACTCTAACCCTAACCCGCGCCCTTAACAATCGAATTCACGTTTTACTAGCATGTCACGTGACCAAAACGGTTTTTTGCCCATAACTCTCCAGGGAAGCATTTCTACCCTACGTCATACTCATGGGAGTGATTCGGAATCAGCGTCCAAAATACACTGATTCAGATCAACTTCATACCCAAAGGGCCTTTTCACAAGAATTTTCTTAAAATTTAGGCGAGCGATTTAGTATGTAGTAGGAGCGGCCTTTAACGGGTGATACTCATAAAATATTTGTTCCAAATATGACCGTCGACAAGTACAAGTCCAACTCGGCGCGCGTCTTGGCACTTATGAGCCATTTAAATTTTATTTACGACGTCCGCTTGATTCACGACGTCAATCCTTCGCAGCTCGGCGCGGCGAGGCCCAGTGGTTGTAGGTTTATAACCTACCAGGACACAGGACGCGCGCCGAGTTGGACTCGTCGACGAGTATCACCTGTTAAAAAATGTTATCTCGAAATGTTGTCTCGAAATGGCCCGAGGCAAGTGCTACGAAACGTAGCGCGCGCCGGGCTAGTCCATTCACAATTAACAATGGACAACCCCTGTCCGGATTGTTCCGAAATTCCAAAAGCACCCCCTCCCTATTTGCTGAACGTGACGTGCTTAGTAGATAGCCCCTTACTTAGTTAGTTAATTGATAATGGTATGAAACCAAATTGAGGTACTCAGTACTGGGAGTCATGTCAAAATCCCGAATAAAATTGCAAAATCATATTGTCAATTGTCCCAATCTCTGTCCCATTTTCAGTTTTTGAAGATAAAATTTCCTGGACCGAAATTTTACAGTTTTGACTCATTTTTTCACCCACAACCAATTAGTAAGTCAACTAAAGATGCCAAATGACACAATTTAGGTGCTGGAAGTTTGATTTCGGTCGGAGGAAGCCCACAGCAGAAAGCTTAGCCTTAACAAAACAAAAAGTTGTATTCTCAAAATCCTGTCCCATTTTCAAATATGAAATTTTCTGAACACAAATTCGACAGATTGGATGAAACTTTTGCCCAGAAACCAATTAGTCAGTTAATTGATGATGGTATGAAACCAAATAGAGGTACTGGGAGTTATAATCCCGAATAAAATTGCAAAATCATATTGTCCCAATCTCTGTCCCATTTTCAGTTTTTGAAGATGAAATTTCCTGGACCGAAATTTTACAGTTTTGACTCATTTTTCACCCGCAACCAATTAGTAAGTCAACTATAGATGCCAAATGACACGATTTAGGTGCTGGAAGTTTAACGGGTGATACTCGTAAAATATACTCGTAAAATATCTGTTCCATATATTGGACCGTCGACGAGTCCAACTCGGCGCGCGTCCTGGTAGGTTATAAACCTACAACTGGAAGTTTGATTTCGGTCGGAGGAAGCCCACAGCAGAAAGCTTAACAAAACGAAAAGTTGTATTTTCAAAATCCTGTCCCATGTTCAAATAATAATATGAAATTTTCTGAACACAAATTTGACAGATTGGATGAAATTTTTGCCCATAAACCAATAATAGTAGGTTATAAACCTACAATAAACTTAACCCCCAAGTGGTGTCAAAAACGCGAATTAA